TGTTAATGTTTCGTTTTAGAGAATATCATGTTTTTATGAGTTAACTTTGCCCTATTTGGTAGTCGAAGCGTCCCAAACTCAATTGACTCCATTCAATCTCACAGAGCCTTCCTTTCGCAAAAGACATTCCCATCCAGGCAGGAGCAGACTGAGGTTTCGACCTCGCTGGTGTCTCATTAACACACTCAGCAGGACTCGAGCCAGAGTTGCGATGGTGCAGCCTATCACGTGGACACGTCAAAGCACTACGCCACATCGCCACGAGTGCTCTTGGACCACAGGGCAGATGTGAATTTCACGGAAGACCAGGAATTGTTCTACATCACATTCTGTGATGGCATCGTCGATGGAGCAAAGTTGTGTTTACTATAACAATAGACTGCATTACCTATTTTTTATTTATAATTAGCTTTTCGAGACTGCCAGTAGATTAGCCTGTATTCATCCTGTTCTGTTACGGTGATAAGGGCTGGTAGTTCACAGTTCGAGTCCCGCTGGGGTGTTGTGGGAATCTGGGAGAGATGGAAACTATGCTCTACTCTTGTTTGGATGAGTATGTCTTTTAAGAAGCAATGCTGTGTGAAATTCAATAGAAAGGTATAACTGCCATAGCTTAATCACCTTAACGAAATAAGATGAATACATCTCAATGCTGCATCATAACTGACTCGACGTTCCATTAAGAAAAAAAAGTCAGTTGAAAGACGTTTGTGAATTGTTTTCACCGGAAAACAAAGCAGGATCGTGAAAGAGCACATTGCTTGGTTTACATGAAGAAAAGTTGGGTTTCGAAGTATCATTTCGTGAGTCAGTGAGACTCTAATTTCCGTTTTCAGCAAAAAATTCAGTTCGAATGCATTTTTCAATTAGCCGCCCTGAAGACTGAATAAGGATTGATTGCGGCGGAGTGATGACCGATGGACTGAAAAAAGGAAGTTATAGTCTCACAGTTTTGCGACTGCAATTCTAAGACATTGTCTGCCCCGTCGTGACAGACATCATCAAAGCAAAAATAATACCTTGCGGAATAGAGTAAGAATATACTCTCTATTTCTCACTATATATATATACATATATATGTATATATATAATTACTATTTAATATACTTTTACTCTATTCCGTCACATATTATTTTTTTTGTGTATAAGGAGAGTTTCGAGGCTACCAGTAAATCAGTAATATGAGATGTATTCACCCTTTTTTTATTTAAGGTGGTCAAGCACTGAGGAGAGCTGACGTTTCCATTCAATTTCACACAGCCTTGCTTTCTCAAAGTTTGCTCTCATTTCGGCTGGAGTGGACTTCAGTTTCGACCTCGCTTCGGTCTTGTCACACCCCCAGCGGGAGTCGAACCGTGACAGTACAACATGTGGGCTTGACACGTGGGAGAATCCGATTTCCAGTCCTTCATCGCTTAAACGAAAAAGGTGAATACATCTTGTATAACTGATTCACGGGTAGTCTCGAAATTATGCTTATATACAACAAAACAATAGCTGGAGAAATAGAGTTAAAATATATTAAGTAGTAATTATATATATATATATATAGTATATTTTTACTCCATTCCGCAGGGTATTATTTTTGCCTTAACAATGTCTGTCACGGCGTGGCAGATGATGTCTTAGCACTGTAGTCACAGAACTGTGGGAGTTTGACTTCTTTTTTCAGTTCATCGGTCATCATTCCACCGTAGTCAATTATGCTTCGGTTTCCAGGGCGGCAAATTAAAAAATGCATTTCAATTAACTTTTTTTCTAAACGGAAATTCGAGTCTCACTGACGCACAAAATGAATCTTCTAAACAGAAGTGAGTTTTTTCCTTGGCGCTTGCTTACGCCAACACTCATTACTTGGCCGCTTAAGTTCGATTCCGGTGCTGATTCTCGCGAAACTTTGATGGACCGGAATCTGAACTCGGCCGGGCAGGGGTACCAAGTGTTTTAGGGGTAAATGAATGGCGAATTATTCAACTTTCTATTCGCTCTTTCAACCCCACCGTTACAGCCAAAATGTCTGCACATCAGCTCTAACAAAGGATTAGCGAGCCCGACTCGTAATGCATTAGTGACTTTCG